GGGGGGGGGGGGGGAGGGTACGTCGTTTTGACTCCGGGCACCTGAACGTGAATGGACGGAGAACGAAAGCAGATTCGATTCTAAAGGGTTTTGGGTCAAAAGTTTAGGAAGAGGTTTAGGGTTTAGGTTTTTAGGGGGCCTGAGAAGTAAAAGTGCTCAAGTTGTAAATGTCGTGCAGAAGCTTGTACATTGTTGTCTTCATGCGGCAACTAGAAGCTTGAGCAAACTCTGGTTCAGATTGTTGTGACTTCTAAAGCTGTAAGTAGTGCTCAGGCTTCGGCTAACTAAGTCAGGGTTGGGGCTGCGGGCTACCACCCCCCCCGGTACCCACCCATGGCTTCGGGCACCTTTTCTCCGAAAAAACGATCCGCCACATAACAGTGAGGATGCCGAGCCGCTCATGGCTGGCAAGGCGCGTGCAGCTTGCAACAACCCCTGAAACCCTAAACTGTCTAGCTTTTATAGGGCCAAGGATGCCGAAGACACTGGAGCATTCTTGAGGGCGCGTCTGAAGGATTCTAGAAGCATGGTTCGCGGGCTGAACGAGGAATCTTTATAGGGGGAGAAGGGTTTAGGGTTGCCAGCCTTTTCATGTAAAGCCTCGGAATGGGACCGTCCGGATGTGTGGAATTTATCAAAGCTACGTGCAAATAGTGTACCTCAGCTGTGTCTGGCAATCTTACTTGCTTCAGCTGTGCTTGCGACCCTGAAAAACCCTAAACCCTAAACCCCATAACCCTGGACCCTGAACCCTGGACCCTGAACCCTAGCATGATCCTTATTGTCGCTCTCGATGCTCCTTCCCTAAGGGTCCATGTACCCAAATAGTATATACATTGGCCCCAAAGTACCTATATAGGGACTACTTTAAGGACAAAGGATATACTATTTGGGTACATGGACCCTTACAATTTATTCGATTTGATTTGCACAGCGGCCTTTTGTCGTGCTGTCTTTCCGCGCAAGGTGACGGAATGTGGCTGTCAACTCATAACCCCAAAGTCGCAGCCCTAAGCCCTACTATGGGGGCCGGAATAATTCCCATTCACTCGGCTTCCTTCATATTGCTCTACTCCAACATACCCCAAAACCCCATTTGCGAAGGCTCCTACATCACCCTAAACCCTAAACCCTAAACCCCAAAACCCTAAACCTTAAACCCCTAAACCCTAAACCCTAAACCCTAAACCCCAAAACCACAAACCTTAAACCCTACATAAACCCTCAAGCCTCGAAATCCTACCAGTACCAGACCCTTTCTCTGAAAGCCCGAGACGCACGAAAGCCTAATCCCTGCTCGGTGGCCTTTTGTCCTTCACAGATATAGGGTTTAGGGCTTTAGGGATTTAGGGATTTAGGGATTCAGGGTTTTAGGGTTTAGGCTTTAGGGCTTTAGGGTGTAGCGTACGAATGGGTTAGGCCTCGATTTGCAGTTTCCGGTTCTTCAGGTTTACGTGTTTCAGGTTCAGGTCTTAAGAAAGTTTTGTTTCTTGTTGAACCGCCATTGTCTACTTGCTTCCAATGGTCGATTAACAGATGAGGATTTAGGGCTAGTTTTGGATTCAGGGCATATCTGCAGGCCGCATTTTGGTGACGGTCCTGGCCGCACCGAGAAGAGGCTTCAGATGTATCCGTACCTGACAGGCAGCAACAGTTGGGTTTAGGGTTTGGCGTTTAGGGAAGATGCCCTGTGACTTGATTTCTTGCTGTTTCGCGCTTTAGGCTTGAGGGGGGTTCAGGGAGTTGTGAGATTTGGGTGTTTAGGGTTTGGGGGGAGGTTGCTCGTTCCATAAAGCCGCAGCTCGCTATTGCAGGGCCTATATAAGGGTTCAAGCAGCTAATAGTGAGATACTCCCCAAAATACAAACCTACATAGCTATCCTAAATCCCCAAACCCCAAACCCTAAATTCCTGAGCCCACGAACCTCATCGCTAGGCCGCTAGGTTCTTTGGACCCGAGTCTGTGTGCGGATGCATGCCCAAAAACACCCGAAACGATGAAAGCCAAAATTTAAAGGTCTCAAGAGCAAAACCCTAACATAACGGCCTGAATTGTTAGAACAGGGTTTTGGGACTAGTGTACGGAACCCTAAAGACTGATATAGGCTCCAAGACTACCCCGAAACCTGTAAGCCTTTGAGACTACCTTGAACTACCATCGGTAGCAGCGGGTCGGGTATAACAGGGCTAGACCCCCCAATACCCAGTAATGTCGATGCCCGATTACTAACCCCCTCGCCGTTAAAGGCTCGAATAGTAGGATCCCCATTACAGCCCTTATTAAGGGAGGGGATGAGGGGTCTGCAATTAATTGCAGACCAGCCATAAAGGCTGTATGACGGATACCTTGCGAGGGAAGCCCTAAACCCTTGACACAAATCTTAAAATGCTAACCCTGCAATATGGGGGCATTGATGGTGGAAGCATGGCTTTGCGGTATGTTATAGCAGTATTATTGCAACACTACGGGAGTCATAGCTAGTATCTATTGCAGCATTGATCTCTGAAGCCCAGGTCGAGGGCACTTCTCCTGGTACTCCTTGAAGCGACTGTTCAGAACGCGGGCCTGAGCCATAATGTAGGGGCCTTAATAATTAGCATAGGGTTCTGGGGGTTCCATATTGTAATTACGTATAATATACCCCCCAACACTATTCTAATCCTTGAGGCGCCTAAATAACTTGAAGTTTCGGGTTGAGGATTGAGGATTCTTGAGGGGTTTAGGGTTTAGAGCGCTCCCAAAATGGCAAAAGCTTGCCTGTCGCGCTGCGTTGGTATCGAAATCTCGGACCACTAAGGAATCTGCGTGATACGACGACTATCAACAAGTCTATAGTGAGCCCCGGACAGTTGGAACATATATTCAACATGATTATAGTGCTAGATTTTGTTTATGCTTTTACTTGGTGAACATCAGGATACTGATGTTCCAACTTTCTGGCTACTGTTGCTGCTCGCAAAGCACAAGGGTTGGAGTCTCACATGAGTTCAATGGGGTATTCGGGTATACCGTGCTGTCAGTATGCATCAGAAACCCTACGGAATAGTGTTGGAAAAAATCCGACCCTAGAGTAGGCCGTAGATGTCTGGAAGTTGGCAACTCACGGTTTTCAGGTGCCAAATGGTTCAATTTGCTGTTTCTGGTGTTGGGTCGCAGAGGGCTTGCGGTCGAGACCCTGAACCCTAAACCCTAAACTCTCAAGCAAGAAATAAATAGAAGTTGCTTGTAACAAGCAGCTTGTTGCTGTTGGCCGTCCGGGTCGGGGACACAACCTTTCTAGTTTCTAACGAGCAAATTCTCCTTCCAGGGTTCCCCCAGCCCAGCCCAGCCCGAGCCCTTGCCCCCACCGCCCAGTACAGCCAGGCCCAGCCCAGCCCAGCCCAGCCCAGCCAGGCCCAGCCCAGCCCGGCCTAGACCAGCCACCCAGCCCGCCACCCCGAGTCCAAAAAACAGGTTTCAAAACCCTCGCCCCAGCCCAATTCCAAAAACAGGTTTCAGTCAGTAAACCTGGTCAAAACTTTCGGTCAAAACGTTATTGGGGCCCTAACCCTTAACAATCTCCATAACCCTAAACCCTAAACCCCAAACCCTAAATTTTACGGCTCTTGGGATTTAGGAACTTTCGGGCTCGGGCTGCAGCAGCACTACAACCACAATAGCCCACACCTGAAGCTCAAAACCTTTGATTTCGAACCTTCTCGCCTCAACAGGTTCAGGTTGAGGGTTTAGGGTTTAGAGGGTTTAGGGCTTAGAGGGTTTAGGGTTTAGGGCCAAAACTCATCACAAGCATGGGTACACAATACGACCAATCTTCGGCTTAGACTCGCCCTGGCATGTTTGAAGGTCATGTCCTAGAATAACAAACGAAGGAACCCCAGTGCATCAACCCCTCAGTCTCCCCTAAACCCTAAACCCTAAACCGTAAACCCTAAACTCTAACCCAACCCTAAGGCTGAAACCCTAACCCAACCGTACACCCTAAACTTTATAATCCTAGCCCCTAAACCCCGGACCCTAAACCCTGAAGACCCCAACCCCTAGAAGACCCTGTGGCCGTGATGTGAGCAAGGAAGCCTGACATCTGAAACCCTTGCAAGAAGGGCTCAACAGGCAAGGACATTTTGGGGGGCCTTCATAAACAGAAGAGGGTTTGGAGCCTTCTTGAAGTAGAGCTATACTTACGGAGCCCTGAGGAAATTCAATAAAGAGGATCCCACACTGTACAGGGTTTAGGGTTTAGCGGTTCAGGGTTTAGGGTTCAGGTTGACTAGTTTCATGAAGCTCCTCATTTGTACCCCAAATGCAGGATACGGTTTGGGGTTTAGGGTGTAGGGTTTTGGGGCCTCAGCTTTGCAAACTCCAAACCCTGAGCCCAGCATGACCCTGAACCCTGAACCCGAAACTGAACTGTAACCGCTGCGCACCGAGCCCCTCTTCCTGAACCTTGAACCCTAACTCAACCCAAACACCCTTAAACCCTAAACCCTTAATCCTAATCCCGTCATGAACGCCAATTTCCGATGCTAAGGCACACCCTGAAACCCTAAACCGCTAAACCAAGAATCCTAAACCCTAAACCCTTAAACCCAAACCTCTGAACCCTAAACCCCCTTGCCACCAGACTTTGGGCAAGCAGGGAACAGTCATCTAATGTTTCTTTCTAGGAACAAGTCCAAAAGAAGGTGTTACAGTTATTAAAGCAAGGTACTCTAAACCCTAAGCCCTATACCCAAAAGTACCATTAAAGGAAACCTTGAGGAAGCCGAAGCCCTAAACCCTAAACCCCTAAACCCCGAAACACCTAAACCCCCAAAAAAAAAACAAAAAAAAACCTAAAAACCCCTAAAACCCCTAAAACCCCTAAACCCTTGACAAGGCACATAGCCGGAGTCTCTGAGGCCGTTCAGCTCATCACTGGTGCATGCTGCTTGGTCCTGAGGCTTTAGGCAGGGGCTTAGGCTTTAGGGGTTTAGGGGTTAGGGTTTAGGGGCTCAGGGTTTAGGGTTTAGGGTTAGACCCTAAACCACTAACCCCTAGCCTAAACCCCTGAACCGCTAAACCCACAACCCCTAAACCCTAAACTTGGCTTGAGCGTTTGAGACTTAAAACTTCTTTAACCCCAATAACAACAGTCTAGGTGAGCAGGTTCGTTGCAGCAGGTATCCCTCACTGAGAACAGTCTAGGTATCTCGGCCCCCTAAACCTTAATCCCTGGACCCTAAGCCCTAAACCCTGAACTCCCTAAACCCTAAACCCTGAACCCTAAACCCTAAACCCTAAACCCTGAACTCCCCAAACCCTAAACCCTAAACCTCAAGCCGGGAAAAACTGGGGGCTCTTGGAGTTTCCGTGTCCTGCAGCCGCTGAGCCTCCAGGGATCGGTGGTCGGGCCAAAGCTTTGTGACCTCCCAGGCTTAGGGGCTTCTAGGATCTTAGGGTTTAGGGGTTTTTAGGGTTTTTAGGGCTTTAGGGTTTAGGGTTCTAGGGTTTTTAGGGGTTCTATAAGGGTTCCTTTAAGGCATCTATAAGGGTTCCTTTAAGGGATCTATAGGGTTTAGGGGTTTAGGGTTCCTTTATAGGGGTTCTCAAAGGCTCCATGTACCTTCATAGTGGAGACTTAGGCCTCAAAGTGCCTATATGGGGACCCCTTTAAGGCCTAAGTAGCTACTGTAAGGGTACATGGAGCTTTGTGACCTCCGAGGATTAGGGGGTTTAGGGTTCCTTTAAAAGGGTTCCTTAAAGGGTTCCTTAAAGGGAACTATAGGGTTTAGGGTTTTAGGGTTTAGGGGTTTAGAGGTTTCGGGCCTTTAGGGTTTAGGGAGTTCAGGGTTTTAGCGGTTTAGGGTTTGGGGTTTAGGGGTTTAGGGCCAAAGCGTTGTGATCTCCGGAGCAGCTTTGAAGGTCCCACTATCTATCTATCTATCTATCCATCTATCTATCTCTATATTATATATTATATATATAATATTATATATATATGTGAGTATAATATAAATATAAATATACATATATATATATATAATAGAGAGAGAGAGAGGAGTTCAGCGTTTAGGGTTGGGGGCTCATAGGGTTTAGGGTCTAGGGGCTTATGGCTAAGAGTCCAAAGGACATAATAGTTAGGTACTTGGGCTCAGGATGTAGTTATGTAATGTAGGTCAGCATCTGGGAGAGTATTTGATTTTTGGATACTTGGACCCTTAAGGTACGGGGCTTCGGGTATGGGGTTTAACGTGCCTTGGGTCTTATGAAGGGTGCTATACGGGCGGGGCTGAAGGCTTCTAGGGGCCTCGACTATTGTTGGGGTTTAGGGTGTAGGGTTCAGGGCAGGGGGTCATTTCCTGGTTCGTCACGTCAACCAATCAATGGAGTCCTTGCCAGTCTATCTTTTCGCTTTTGGTCGCTTCTTGCTTCCGAGTATTCGTGAGATCGCTTGTCTTACTCCCATGCCTTCTGCACCAGGATGGCCTCGATTGGACATCCTTCCAGCTCGTCATGCGTCATCCAACGTCGCACGGCGTTTGCACGATCCGGCTTCGTGACCGGTCCTTCTTCGTCCTTTTGCTTGGGCTGAATGGAAACCCGGAACACGCAGGCGCGTTGTGTTGAGGGGATGTATCACTTCTCGTAGGCGGGCGACATGTCTTGGTTGAGGTCATGCATCCAGTTTGCCTGCAAATGCTTTGCCGCTTTGCAGAGCTGCAGCATTGGCATCAAGTCCTTATGGAAAAACATGCCACGGAGCTAGCCGGCGCCGTCGTCTTCCAAGCATCGCAGCAGATCCATGTCTCGCGCCTAGCGAGCACTGTCAACATACGACACCGTCTGATCGTCGTGCGTCGCAACAAAAGCAAGACTGCTACTCAGGTTTGATCGCGGTGCTGAACAAGCTGTAGCGAGGGTAAGCTACTCAAGAGTATGACCACAATAATGCCGACTGTAGTTTCATGATGATGATGGTGGTGGTCATTGCCATCATCATCATCGTCCGCGTCATCATTATCTTCTGCCTCTCCTTCTTCAGCCACCACCATGTCTCGTCAGAATCGTTAGCATCAGACGCGCTAGATCGTTATCATGGTTCATCAGCAAGGCTTGAGTATGAGACTAGTCACGACAACGATCCGCATCGTGACCTTGAAGTGCTGCCGTCCTCGTTTTGAAAAACCCAATGCATCATCATTCATCAGCGTGATGATGACCACCATTGCCATCTTTGCCAAAACAATCTCTGTCATCGTCACCACCATCGCAGCCGCTTTCATCGGTCTGGCAGACCTAAACACTAAACTCTAATCCCTAAACCCATGTAGCCTGGCAGACCGCATTGCCAGAGTGGCTGCGCTTCAGGTCGCGCAGCATCGCGTGGACCTGTCGTACTGGTGCTGCCGAAGAGATCCGAGGCCGAAACCCTAAACCCCTAAACTCTAAATCCTAAAGCCCTAAACTCTAAACCCTAAAGCCCTAAACTCTAAACCCTAAAGCCCTAAACCCGAAACCACTAAACCCTTAAACCCTAGACCCCTAAGCCCCTAAGCTCTACACCCTAAAGCCCTGAACCCCTAAACCCCTCAAGCCCTAAACCCTAAACCATCCTAAACCCCTAGGAGCCGGCGAGCCCGAGATTCTGGAATCAGGGTCGCCTAGGTGTTGGCTCCACCCGTCAGTGTCATTGCACAGTCGGGATTAGGGCTTACCTGTAGTCTCCATTGTAGTTCCTTTTTGGGGTTACCTTTTAGGATCCTTAATATATAATATATCAAGGATCCTAAAAGGTAACCCCAAAAAGGAACTACAATGGAGACTAATTATATAGATTTGGTTAAACCAAGAAAAGGAACTACGATGGAGATTAGGGCTTAGAGGTCAGGGTATAGGGTTTAGGGGTTTAGGGCTTAGGGTTTAGAGGTTTAGGGTTTAAGGGATTCGGGTTTGGGGTTTAGGGTCCTGTAGGAAAAGCGACAAGACCTCAAGCCTGCAAACTTTGTAGATGGTGGCAACATATCTGGAAGGGATTTGGAGAGAAAACAGCTTCAGGGGAAGTGGTAATGAGAACAATGAGAACGAGGTACTAGCAGTGGTGGCAGTGACAGCGGTAGTAGTAATAGCAGTAGTGATGGTAGTAGAGAAAACAAACATAGGGACAGTAGTGGCGGTCCGAGTATGTGTATGGGTATAACTGACTGCCATCGACTGTCTGGTTGTACAAGCGCGTATGTGCATGGAAACAACAGTAAATCCATGCATATATTCCTCTCTCTCTCTCTCTCTCTATATATATATGTCTATATATATATATACATATACACATTTATATACGTACATGTGAATATATGTCGAGCTACCCTCAACACTAAACCCTAAACCCTAAAGCCGAGACCCTGAAGCAATCGAAGACCCTGCACCTTCACAGCTCAAATCCCCGAGGATCTGAACCGCCTTATAAACCCGAATATAGGGGCCTTAATAATTAGACTGGGGGTTTAGGGTTTAGTGGTAGGGTTTTGGGGCCCATGATATTACTATATAGATAATAAGGACCTCCCCCCCAAAAAAAAAACAACAACAACAAAAATGTATATTTGGGCTCCTAAGTAGTTCCTTTTTGTGGTTCATACTTAGAAGCCTGAAAGGTAATCCCAAAAAGGGACCACTATATTGATAATCAGGAACCCCCCCAAAAAAAAAGTATATTTGGGCCCCTATATAGGGGTTGCCGAGAATAGGGGACCCTAATACAGTACCCTAAACAGTAGGATCCTTATTATAAGGACCCCAACATATGGTACCCCTAATTTTCGGAAACTCCCATACCCTAAACCCTAAACCCTAAACCCTAAAACCTAAACTCTAAACCCTAAACCCTAAAACCTAAACTTTAAACCCTCAAGACAGGATAAATAGAAATTGCATGCCGCGACAGCGCAGCTCCTGCGGTCGGAGCTTCCGGTCAAAACCAGCAGCAGCCAGCCCAGCAGCCCAGCAGCCCAGCAGCCCAGCAGCCCAGCAGAGCCCAGCCCAGCCCAGCCCAGCCCAGCCCAGCCCAGCCCAGTCCAGCCCAGCCCAGCCCAGGCAGGCAGGCAGCCAGCCCAAGCCCAGCCAAAATCAACAAATCAAAAGTAAAAAACGAAACTTTCGGTCAAAAACCCCGGACCCAAATCCTATACAATTTCTATAAACACTAACCCAACCCTAAGGCTGAAACCCGAACCCAAGTCCCATTTGGGGCCGCCTTTGTCAGGTTCTCTTCGCCGAGCTCCAGCTGCAGGTGAGATGCCAGGGTGCGGAGGACCTCCCTGCCCTGGCGCATGATGTCTTCCTTGGGAGATCGTGGGCTGGAAGTCTTAGGGCTCGGGGATTTAGGGTGTAGGGGTTTAGGGGTTTAGAGTTTAGGGTCTTCCTTGGGGTATAATTTAAGGTCTATTCCTTAATTAAAGGACATTGGAGTCTCTAAGTCATAGGGCTCGGGGATTTAGGGTGGGCTTAGGGTTTAGGGGTTTAGGGTTTAGGGCTTTAGGCTTTAGGGCTTCCTTGGGAGATCCAATGTCCCTTAATTAAGGAATATGCCTTAAATTATACAAGGAGCCCTAATAAGATTTAAGGTCTATTCCTTAATTAAGGGACATTGGAGTCTCTGGGATCGTAGGCTGGAAGTCATAGGGCTCGGGGATTTAGGGTGGGCTCAGGGTTTAGGGGTTTAGGGTTTAGGACTTCGGGTGTAGGGTTTAGGGTTCAGGGTTTCGGATTTAGGGTCTGGGGTGTGGGCAGGTTAGGGTTCAGGGTGATTAAAGGGCTCAGTGCAAGTTAGGATGTAAGGCTCAGGGCAAGCTTGGGCTAGGGTTTCGGGCTTGTCTGTAGACTCGCCAGACCTGTAGCTCTAAGGAACTATAGCAGGCCAAAGACAAACAAAGCTAATTACTCCGACCCTAAACCCTAAAACCCCAAAACCTAAACCCTAAACACCCTCAAAACCCTAAAGACCCTAAAAACCCCAAAAACCCTAAAATAACCCTAAAAACCCTAAACCCCTAAACCCCTAAAACCCTCAGCCCACCCTAAACCCTCGTCCTACGGCTGATGATATAAATCCTGCATTTTACCCATCCTAAGGCCCTAAGGAATATGCCATAATTCCCATAGCTAAGGGTCCTTATAAGGGAATGCAGGATTTAGATCATCAGCAGTAGGTCTCGGTCTCTGGGCCAGGCGGTTGGAAAGCCGACCCTGGCGCACTTCGATTCAGGGCGCGGGAACTCTTAAACCCTGAACTGAAAACCCTAAACCCAAATCTTACCACAAATAAGCAATATACATCATCACACATATGCTGCCATCTTCTCCAGCTCTGTTTGCTTATCAGGCTCCCTAGATTGCCGGTTTTGTATAATTTGAGGTTGGGGGTGGGGGGATGGGTTGGGTGTAGGGTTTAGGGTTGGGGGTTTAGTTTTGGGATGAAGGGTTTAGGTTTGGGGGTGTAGAGAAGCTAGCTCGGAACAAAAGCTGAGGGTGTGCCCGAAAATGTTTCACATAAGCACGGCCAGCAGCATAGGCGAGGTCCAGAGTGGAGCGTTTGCACCACCTTGAACTCAATCACATGTGCAATGACGGCAGTGGGCGCTCTCTTGCTGCTTGCCTATGCTGCTTTCCCACGCCCTAAAACCACGAACTGACGTTGTGCACATTGCTCTCACCTGTCTTGTCGGCTGATGATGATCCAGCGAACCCTGAGGCATCAGTTTAGGGTTTAGGGGTTCAGGGTTTAGGGTTTAGGGTTTTGGGCTCAGAGTGTTGAGTTCAGGGCTACCCATGAGCTACTGTTGATGGTAAGAAAAGGCCCCAAACTATGGGAATTATGGTATATTCCTTAATATGAGTAATGCAGGATTTATACCATCAACCGTATCTCGTGATGAGCGTCCACTTGTTCGTATTCTGCAGTTTTGCCCGAAGAGATCCCAAGATGAATGGGGCATCCCAAATGTCTGAAGCTACGGTTGATAATAAAAATCCTGCATTACCCATAAGAAGGAATATACCCATAATTTCCATAGTTTAGGGTCCTTCAGGTACTGCGGGAGTTATCTCAGCAACAGTAGACTGTGAGTCGTCAGCATCCGAGAAGCTTCAGAACCCAGAGACTCCAATGTTCCTTAATCAAGGAATATACCTTAAATCTTATTAGGGTTCCGATTATAGTTTAAGGTATATTCCTGAATTAGGAGATATTGGAGTCTCTGGGAACCCTGAGAAGCTCTGCGGCACAGGCTCCAGAAGGGCTGCACGCTGGTTTACTTACGAGGGTTTAGGGTTTGCAGGTGATAAC